TATAATTTACTAGATTCTAGATCTATTACCCATCCAATGAAACGCGAACACTTTATTTCAATAACACAGACTTGCAAAGTATGAAGGATCCCCGATACCCCACACGGCCTGCACCAACTCGCGCTTTGCAGAGAGCTATAATCAAAATTCTGAAATTTGCTTCCATGTTTTTGTCCTCTTCCTCCGAGTGTATCTTTTTAAAAAAATCAATAATCCCCTCCCCTATTCCGTAGTCCTAAACTTCGCAAGGCCGTTACCCCCACCAAAGACCGTCTTCGCTCACACGATGCCGCATTTATTTAAGATGCGAATGCGCGCAGGGTCACTGACCGGTCACGATGGCAAGCCAGACAATCTAAAAATCGGACGACGCTTGTATTTTCTTTTCTTTTTTCCCACAAGTGACAGCACAGAGACGAGTCCGAGTGTTGAATAAATTTTATTTGCGCTGCAACACAGCGTTTACTTTGCACAACCTGCATTGTAACAAATATCCCGTTATCAATATCAGACTACCGCTGGCAAACTTCTCGGTGGTAACAAAAGCGAAAGTAGATCTTGAACTTGATTTTCCGTATCGAGCCTCGGTGTCACATACACTTCCGCCATAGCCGCCTCTTCGCGTGAAAGTGAAACATACTCTCGACGGTGACAAGCTGAGCGAATATAATATCACAATCGCGACCGGCAAAAATGAACTTACTGACCTTATCGGACTTGGTTTTCAAATATTCCAGTTCCATGATACTGAAACTATTTTGACAAAAGATGGGACTTGAGATAATTAGGTTTACTCGACCCAGCTGAATCTCGTATTTTTCGCATTCCAGGATGCCTATTTTTTCATGAAAAGTCGTATTCGCGTATTTTCGGCCACAAATCGTACTAAAATACGTAAAATCGTACTGGTTGGCATCTCTGTTGTAGGCTAGATCTACTGATAAAACATCGATGCCGAATGTTTATATCAGTATCGATATCCAGTAGTCTTTGCTTGTGTGATTTAGACTAGATCTAGATATCTAGATCTAGATCTAGAATCTAGTGCTAGATATATCTAGATCTAGATCTAGATCTAGTGCTAGATATCTAGATCTAGAACTAACGGGTCTAACGCGGGACCGCAATTGTCAGGACACTACAGTACAGGTACAGGAGTGCCCAATTTGAATTGGAACGGGAAGGCAATTTCCAAAGAGCGACGTAAATGTAGCAACTGCGAGAAAAATAAAAGAAACGGATGACAGTGTCAACGCTGAAAAGGTAAAACAACAACAATACACAAACTACATTCGGGGCGCCGTGAACATAGCCTGCGCAAACTAAGTGAACGTTGTTGTCACAATGAGTGTCACTGCGATTACAAACTTACAGGTAAGAGCACATAACAAGAGGCGTTTTGGGGTCATATGTGTAGCCAGTTGATTCATCCATAAGGTATCTGTCTTCTTCACAGAAACTCAAAACAATCAAAACACTCAAGCCGGTAAAATACAACACAACCAAGTGCCTCATCATGCAACTCTCGAGATCGTCTTTCCTTTCATTTCTACGGGTGGTGTTTTGGCACTTCCGCTTTCAAGGAAAAGGCATGCAATATCATACTATATCAGAGTTTCGCACAAACATAGAGATCGTAACAAGTGTTTTATAATCTTTTCCTGTATAAATTTGTCATCAGATTACTTAACTATACTATTTAAAGTTTTAATATTTATCTTAAATTTAATTTTGAATAAATTTCTCATTATATTTACTAAACCTTCGAAAACAAATAAAGGGAGACAGGGAATTCCCATTTTCACTCATGGTTGTGATTAGCAACTTGCCGTTATCGTGGTGAATCACGCACTATCATTCATCATTCAGCGGTTTCCAGTTTCCGTCATCCGTTTTCTTCTGTGCGAAGAGTGAGTTTCACCAACAGTTCGACAGGTACTTCCGTAAAATAATAAATTGTTTATTCACCAGTCTTCACCAAATCAGATTCTCTTACTCTTGCACTTGCTCACCGGTGACAGAACTTCCTGTCGTCCACATTCCATAATTCCATGCCTATAAATTATAGATGTTAGTTGTCAAACTTCAACTTAATTTACAATGATTCAGTTAGTCAGCATACTATTAATATGATGAATAACAAATCACGCAACTGTTCTTGAACGTCATGTAGATCTAGATCTAGTCAACTGGAGAAATTGGAAGCGATCCACCCCTTATTCTATTCTATAGTAGACTATAGGCCTACCCTACCCTAATAGTAGAAGGTCGTAAACACAGCCACGCGGGCACTCACGGCCTTCTGAGCGCGTGGTATAGGTGAAATTGGGGTAATCCCGATCGCTGTTTCTTTGCTCTTTCGCTATAAAACACCAAATGCCGTACACCATGTAAAAGTTCAGCTTTTCCTTGTTACAATGGTGGTGTGTAAGTTGTTTATATAGATATATATAAATATGTCCGATTATTGGAAGCTGGAGAATCGCCGAGGAAAGCGAACCCCCTCGCGGTCGGAATGCATGGCCGGCCAGTTCAAAAATTGACACTCGTGCATTCAAATGCTTCGCGGAACGAGGGATGATTAAATACCGTCTTTTCATTGGCGGAGAACTGTAGAGCTTTAAACGGACTTTCCCGTATGTATAGCCTTTGGCGTTTAAATAGAATGCTTTTAAAAATACTGTCTAAATGTTTAAAGATCACTTGTAACACAAAATATGTAAAATACCGGCTTAAAAAAGTATGAATTAAAAGATCAGTTCATTTTCTATTACAATAAAGTAATCAACTTGGAATTTTTTTTTATCGATCCTTCCGCTAGACTCGGAAAGCATGTGACCCCGCCCGCGGGATACAACAGTATAGAGCCGACTCGCTCGCCGCGGGGCCGGTGCGGCGCCGGCCAGGTCAACGCTCTGTGTTTTTGTCAAAATAACGACAAATCATCGTGTTCGAGGTGATAAAATACTGATTTGTAATGATCTCACCGTCTTAAAAAAATTAGGCTCCGTATATTTGTTATAGAGTGATTGTACTCTGTTAATGTGGAGATGCTTAGTGCACTTGGTACTCTCTAATTGTCTGTCAAACATGGGGTTGCAGCCAGTGATTGACTTAAAAATTAAACAAATTTGATCAAATTTTAAACAACTACCATTTTCTTAAAAATTGACTGAGAGGTTTAAGAATGGTATGAAAATGCTCAGTGGATATAGGCCTTTCAAATGGAACAGATAAATTTGGCATACACCTACTTCGAAAATTTAGTTTCTGGTACCTACTAATAGGAATGATATGCGACTGAACGTAGAACGACGCAAACTATTTTTTGGCAAAGCGGCCACCCTTGTGTGACATCAGACCGGGATACCCTTCTGATCACGTGACTACATGATCTAAACATAGCCAGCCGCATGGCACCACAGATCATGTATACACCTACCTTTGCACGACGTTTGGTGCCATGTTTTTTGTCCAGGAGACGTACCGGTAATGTGATATGATGCAGTGCTCTGATGATGCTGCTGCTTATCTCTTCTGGACATTGTTTATTGGGCCCGAGAGGGGGGTTGGGATCTCTGGGCGTATTTACGGCAATTTTGGTGCACTTGTCTTTGCATTTACTTACAAGTTCCATGTTTCAATTTCAAGCATGAGCGTTCTTACTGTTCTGAGCATCAACGATCTAAGCGATCTTCTATCACCAAAGCATGGCTGACATGCTGCAGTTAGTCGCAAGTGTGAAATTTTACAGTGCGAAACACATTGATACAGATAATAGGTCAAGCCACTGACTCAACATGTCGTTCCATGCAGTACCTCCAAAGATCGTGTAGTGTATTAGTGTAGTAGTAAGTAGAGAATCTTTGGTAACTCCAAGGCCTTATAAATTTAGTTTGTAGAGATCCCAGAAAGTGATGACATCACATTACTAAAATTAGCAGCCGATCAGGAAGATGCGTCGTTCTACGTTTAGTCGCATGTGGAATTAAGTAAATTCACAAAAATAATTTTTGTGACTGTTTTTAAAGTGCCATTTGTTCTCCACACTCTAAAAAACGTTAAAATAGTGCCGTAAGATAGTCTTAAATGGGTTTGGATTTTTTCTATAAATTTACCGGTGGCCTTTTGACCCTGACAACTCTGTCAGCTTTTTTACTTGACTTCCGTTTTTGTTTCCGATTTTGTGTTTAATTTTCAATAGAGTTAGGCCGGGACCACTTCTCCCGAAGAGTGCTCGCTATTCTCACCACCCTCAGGTGTGCTAACATACAGTAGACCTAAAGTCTATAGCACAGACACACACAGAACAGCACAGAGAATAACTTAATAAAAGTTGTAGAGATAAGTTTCAGGTTTAGTTTTTTTAATGGGCCCGGTGAAGACCATTTCACTCCATGAACAGCGAACAACAGTGGGGGGGGGGGGGAGCAATCTAGATTTATCAAGGACCTTACAACAAATGGACCCTCTTCTCTCTCTTTGCGGCACCTTACGCAGCATGCCCAGTGGAACATACAAAATGGTGCCAACTATGGTCACCCAGTGCAAACTGCGGTTTTTTCTTTACAAAGGATACTAGGCTTGGGCAGTGGGCTGCGGTATGGGAGGGGTGCAAAAAAGAGGGGTGAAGGTGGTGGGGCGGGCCTCGGAGAGTAAGATGGAGAAAGAAAAAATTAGAGAGAGAGAGGGGAAAAGTTTTTTAAAAAGAGAGAGAGAGAGAGAGGGGGGGGTTAGAGAAAGAGAGAAAGTGTGTGTGTGTGTGAGAAAGAGAACGAGAAAAGGGGCTATCTGATATGGACTGTCTATGAACTTTACTTTATGTTTTGATCTCCATGTTGACTATCTATCGTGAAACGCAGCCTACAAGTAATTTTTAAGATCAAGAAAGGCGGTGGGTCAGAGGTTAGGGGGAGGGGTAGGGGTGGAGAATCTCCTTCCCCCCCCCCCCCCCCCCCCCAGTTGTCTTGCCAAGTGACAGAAGATTATTTAACAGACTGGATAGTGAATCTTACAAGATCCTGCTACAAGGATTTAATTTGTTATTAAAACATACCACAAAGTACAAAGTATTGAATTTGACACAATGATTGCATAATTCAAGGGAAGTGCCATTACTAGCTTTCATGTGTTATAGTGAACGTATTATTCGTTGTTAGGTCTAGAAAGCATATAGGTAAAATGCCTTCACTTAAGATAGCCAAGACCTTCACACAAGAACATTATAGAGCAAAAGAGAGCCAAAATCAGCTTTAACTGATTGCTTATAACTATGCCTTTGTCTATGAATTATTGAGCACAGTAATTTTACACTTTTCCCACTTGGCTCGGAGCCTTCGGAGATGGACGTTAAACTTGGAGGTCTCGCCTCTTAAATCACCTATAGTGTTGATAGGGACGTTATACTTGACACCATTTCACCATTTTCACCGCCAAGTGTGTCAACAGATATATATATATATATATATATATATGGAAAGTGAGGGAGCCAAACAAAACTTTCCCACTCCGTCCTTCAGTTTCTCAATCAAGCCTGCCATCATCTCTCTCTCTTTCTCTCTCTCTCTCTCTCTCTCTCTCTCTCTCTCTCTCTCTCTCTCTCTCTCTCTCTCTCTCTCTCTCTCTCTCTCTCTCTCTCTCTCTTTCTTTCTTTCTCTGTCTCTCTCTCTCTCTCCCTCTCCCTCTCCCTCTCCCCCTCCCCCTCCCCCTCCCCCTCCCTCTCTCTCTCTCTTATATTGTAGTAAAAACCAATGTTAAGACCAAGAGAGGCCAGTGCAGAAATATTTATTGTGTGTGTGTCTGTAAGAGAGAGAGAGAGTGTGTGTATGTGTGCGTAAGAAAGAGAGAGAGAGAGGATGTGTGAGGTTGTGTATGTTTTAATGTGTTTGAGAAAAAGACAGTGAGTTAGTATGTGTGTACGGGGTGGGGGGGGGGGGGGGGATTGGTTAGAAACTGAGTGGAGGGGTGGGTCACAGCAGTAGGCTCAAAATATAGCTTCACAAGTGAAGAGATTTCATTTATGGCCCCTAAAAGTCAAAGGTACCTCAACTCCAGTGGTACATCTCTGTATACCCCTGACATGAAGGTACACTGTGTGTACAATTTATGAAAGTATTAAATTGTTTAGAATTTGGTGGCATTTTTTTAAACTTGTGATTTCTTAAAATGGCTGTACTGCATTGTATGCTTACATGAACACAAAAAGACTTGTCTTTCTAATTTGATTTGTTGTATTTTTCAGATCTGCGGAGTGGCTTCAAATTCAAATCGTGAGTGGGAGAGGGAATTCTGTTCCGACTTACAAGTGTCCTGGTCATTAAAAGAAGACAAGGATGGCAGCCCCAGTTTCAGTGTCTTCCAACCCAGTGGTGTCCGTACTAGTTACGAGCACTGCTAATCCCTTCGGAGTGGAGAGGAGGTTTGAAAGAGGGATGAACATCTCAACATTGAAATCTAAGTTGGAATTAGTTACTGGTGCTTTTGCCCAAACCATGAAACTGTCTGTTTTGAACTCTGAGAACAAACTCATTTGCCAACTAGATAATGATGATGCCCTCCTTGGATCTTACCCAGTTGATGATGGAATGACTCTGCATGCAGAAGACTCAAATTTGAAAGCAGATGAATACAGTGATACATCAAAAGTTGAGAAATTTGAAATTTCCGAGGATGAGTACAAGAAAAGAACTGATAGTGTAAGAGCTTTTAAGGAAAGAAATAGGTTGGGACGTTTCAATGAAGAATTGGTGCAGAAAAAGGAAGAAGAGCTGAAACTGAAGGAGCAAGCTGAAGATGAAAAGGCTGCAAGTTTGAAAGTAAATGATCGTTGTGAAGTGCGAGTGTCAGGACAACCGAGTCGAAGGGGAGTGGTGAAATATGTGGGCAAGACAGAGTTCAAACCTGGAACCTGGGTGGGAGTGCACTATGATGAACCCCACGGAAAGAATGATGGAAGTGTTGGTGGAAAGAGGTACTTCGAGTGTCCTCCAAAGTATGGAGGTTTTGTTCGGCCATCCAATATTGAAGTTGGAGACTTCCCAGAAGAGGGTTTTGATGATGATGAAATGTGATTTAGTTGTTTGTTTCCAATAGTTAATTTATGGTTTTCTAAAGCAAAATCCCACACCAGATGTGTATCTTTCATTGAGTATATTTTTTTTTTCACAATCTTGTTTCAATACCAAAAAAAATTAATTTAAAGTGTTTCCATTGAAATGTGTTCTGCAATATGGGCTTGAGCTTATGTACCATGTACATTCATTGCATCATTACAAGTTACATTTGCACTTCAGCAAGCATTAGAACAAAGTTGTTAGTTCTGTATGTAGGCCTACAGATACTTTAACTCACTTTTCATAAGATTGCAGGTTTGGAGGTTCAAGCCTCAGCTTGGTCCAATGCTGTGTCCTTGGGAAAGGTACTTTACACGAATTTCCTATTTAGTTCGGTCCCTTTGGAGATGGGCATTAATAAACTCATCATAGGTTCTGCTTCTTAAATATCCTTCCACTTCCACTCGTTTTGATAGAAGCATTAAACCAATACCTTTTCTCCAATTTTTTTTCTCCACTTTTCAGTCTTACACATATTATGTGATTGTTTGATCTTTCTTTACAAATTATAGAAAGTTTTGAGTCAGTTTCAGCTTAAAAATTTCAGTTTCAGATTCATAATTCTTTTTTGTATTTTCTTTAAGGATTACTTTCTTTAAATTTTGGTGTTTCCTTTTTGTGCATTCTTGCCCAGATTAGAACAGAAACTGGATTTTTTTAGTTCCAATAATTTCCTGTTTCTGAATTAAAAGTACCGGGTAACTTGAAGTTAGGTTAGACTTTCTATTCATTAAAATCTAATTTTCTTCAGCAATGTCTAAACATCTAGTTTTTTTCATTGCCTTTAAAATGAAGCCTACTACTACTCGTTTTTTTTGCGGTCTAACTTTGTGAGAAAGAAGTAGGGCCTACTGTATGGTCCTTATCTGATCACCATTTTAATTGTCTTGTGTTGAACTTCAAAGAATGTCTCCCAAATTGTTGCTCTTGCATTGTTTCTCAGAATTATTTATCAGGTTGTGCGCAAGGTTTAAAGTATGCCTCGAATGTTTTTGTTGAGAAATGTCACATTCTATTATTTTTCTCTTTTGTATTGCTCATAGTTAAGTCTTAAACTTAAATGCTCCATATTGTTTTGGTATGTTTTAAGGCAAACATCGTCATGGTCCCAAACAGTGAAGCATAAGTAGTATAAGGGTTACTCTTAATGAGTTGTTGTTTGGGAAATTTAAATTACGACTCAGTGTTTTGTATATTTTAGGGCACATTGGCCGTATGTTGGGGTTTTTTTTCAGGTTTAGGTGACGTTGAGTCATACTTTTTATATTTTTCTGTGGTTCGCAATGAATGCTGAAATTTTCAAAGATGTTTTTCGTTCTTTGTGATACTCTGATACTGAACTTTTCATTTGGAGCTTGTGACCTTGAAGAAGTAAGTCTGGGTATGAATTACTTCTTCCTCAAGTCTAAAATGCAGAAGTGGCATAAATATTGTTGCATGGCATAAACGTTGCTGCATCTTGTTCTACCATCAAATTGATTTCAAATGTTTCTGGTGTACTTCAGTTGTGCTTTTTATGAGGAATTTTGAAGATCAAGAGGCTGTGCTTTATACACACAATCTAGATTGTCCTTTCTCGTCTCTGTATTTGCATAGAGGCATAGCGTTTTGTTTTTCCTGATGAAATGTGGAAAAATTATTTTCTCCAACCTTCATGCCACTTGGTGGTATTTGTTGCTAATCCACCAGATGCCGCTGCAAAGTCTCTGTACAATGATGGGCACAGCGCCAGTTCAGGAAATCCCAGTTCATCATGAAATAAACTGTGTTGATTATTATGGGATTTTCTTTTAAAGGACACTTTTGATTTTATGTGCTGAGGCACGTCTTGCTGAAAAAAAATATAAAGTTACATTGCCACTTTTTTTTTTACTTTCATCTTCATAGTCTGCAGTAATGTACAGTATTGAAATCCTACTTTACAGGGTAAGCTGATTTTGTTAGTAAAATTTGTCAGGTACCGGTACACAGATGCTTAGAAGAAAGAAAATGATGACCTTATTTTGTGTAAGAGGGGGCGCTTTGTTAGCTCAGTTGGTATCATGCTGAAATACAGAGCGAATGACCCTGGTTTAAATCCCAGACTGAGCGTTTTTTAACTCAGGTTATATTCTGGAGTTTTCAAGGCTCTCAAGCCATTTGGCTCAGTCCTATCAGATGGATGAGATTCGGAGGTCCCGCCTCTTAAAAAGATCTAACCTAATGATTTTGATAGCGATAGGGGATTTATTTCTATACACTTACTTTTCACGGTTTAACAGGTAACTCTTTAACACTAAAGACACTAGTACTAGTTCTAGTAGTGTCTGAACCATGTATATTGCTCTATATTGCTCTTGTGTGTTGGTTCCACTTGTAAGTTGTTTCATGTGCTTCTTAGCAAACAGCTTTCTTGATCAGAATAGCACTTCACAGACAAAGCAACGGTCAAGTCACTCTATGTCAGAGGATGCACTGTCCATATTTCTATATATATATAGAACCATTGTACCGGTACTCTTACTGAATGCTTTATCATGTATTGTCATCAGGATATGGCAAAATGACATATTGCCAGTTTTGCTTGATCTGCTGGTGTGTTCATTTGCCACCTTTTAGGAACTGTGGTTTGGGAGATGCTTTCGCAATGTTATGTAATTTGCCATTCCTGTGTAATTAAAAAAGTTCCTATTACAGTTTTCAGTTGTGTTTTTATCTATGTTTTTGTTAAGTAGAAATGAAATTTGTATATGGATGTCTCAAAACCTTGTTGTTTTTTTGTTAGTTTTTAATTTAAAAAGGTTCTCTGTGTGGACTGACACTGTTTTGTTGTGCGTTATTTGTTCTCAATTTCAAACTTACATTTGATGTACCGGTAGGCTATCCTAGAAAGGTTTTTCACCTTCTTTTCTGGTTCTAGTTTGATTGTTTTAACTTACTGATTAAGTGACCTGACTGACTACATCATCTCAGAGCCTTTGTCTTTAGATTTAGAATAGAAATTCAGCTCATGAAGAAAGCTGCATAATTGTATATATCTCTGTATAGAAAATCTCAGATACCATTGAACTGTATAAACATCAGAAATATAACGATATGATACTTTTCAGTCTTTTTAAGAGAAGTTGTCCACACTCTGGATGAGGAGCAAGTAGCCTGTTAAATTCATGAACATAATGTCTTTCGTAACCATCAGCCGCCCCCCGCGGCGGTGCCACTGATTGAAGTGTCTTTAGGCCATTCCCAAAGGGAGGACATTTCTCGTTCTAATGCACCGTAGAATTGTAAATGGGCTGATCCAACAATGTCATTCTCATAACTGTGTCTGAACTACAACAGGGAACTGCTGCTTTTTCTTTTCTAATCTTTACTATCATCATTTTCCCCTACTTCTTTTGTATGTTTCTCACGCTCTTGTGACCCGCTATTTCCAGGGGTGCCTTGATAGTCGAAGCAGACTTTGTGCTGTTGAAGCTAGAGAGGTGAGCAGAGTAAGTCTGATTCCCTATAAGGACTTCTCTGTTGACATCCACCCCTTGGTGCTCATATGACCTTATGTAGTTTGAGCGCCGTAAAACCTCTACTAAAGCTAACTAACCATCAGCCAAGCATTGTCACTTTTACTTTTAATGTACTGCACATAGGTCTGCTAATATGTGTCAGGACACAGTTGAATCAGGTGCTCGCCAATGTTTGTACATGTGGAGTTATTGGTATCATTTTAAAGCTTGCTCATTTGTCTTGCTTTTGTTGAAAAAAAACCCTCAACTATCACGAATAAAAGTCGAGATTTTGAGATTGATGAAGGAGGTGGGGATCACCTGGTTTCAGATATATGTAAAATTAGCGAGAAAATGGCTGCCAAAGTTTGGCAACTTCCAAAGCTTGAGATTCCTTAGACACTGAAAATTTATATTTTTTGTGTCTTAAAATAAACATTTTTCAGTTAAGTCCATTACAGAAATGTGTTTTTAAATGGACTTTAAAAGTGTTGAGTCTAAAAACAGAAATTCTATAAAATTTGTCAAATGTACAGAAACACGCCAGTTTCTTCGATTTCATTATTTTGACGAGCACCTGATTTCACCACAATGCCTCACATATAGTCACTTTTAAGGACAAACGGGCTAACTCAGGTTTCGGGGGTTTCCAGAAATCTTGACCTACACCAAAAGTGGGCATTGCCCTACCTATAGGAGAAGTTTAGCTTCATTGGTGCGTATTTGGTTATAGAGAAAACTCTCCTTGTCTTTTAAAGAAGTGAGCGCTTTATTGGCTGCTTACAGTTACACTGTATGCTTCCAGGAAGCCAAAAATGTTTCCTAGTGTTATAGTGTCTGCTGGGGTAATAATATTTAGAGCTTGCTGTTGAGCTGGGCTGTGCACTATACACATGCTATATTTATTATTATTATTATGAAACCACTTTGAAATCACTGAATTCCAGTTACGAAAACTGGAGTCAGTACAAAATGAAACTGAAATTCTAAGGAACACAAGCATAAACCGTGACAATTTTTCATCCGCCTTGAAAGCTGTGACAAGAATTTCCACAAGTCAGAAATTGGAGGTAGTACAAGATAGCACTCAGCTCACAACTATTGCTACATGATACACAACTGCTGTTGCTGCTCTTTTTTGCTTGACTATCGCTATGCTACTCGTAAATGGGGTCCAGCCTCCTATATATGGCTGTGGCTGTGAATGGTGGACAATGCTAAAATAGTGAAAAGAAACAAAAAGCCACGGAAATTGGTTTCTTTGGAGATTTCTGAGAACTTTTTCGAAGAAACAGAAATTGCCAAATGAGGTCATGCTGAAAGAAAAGTCTGCATGGGATGCTCATTTATAAAAACAATTCAAAAGAGACAAAGTACTGGGGTAGTTTATGTTGAATTACATAAAAGCCTTGAACATCTTGCTCTCAATGGAAAAATAGAACAAAAGAGGGAGGGGTATACCAATAACAATTTACCTAGGAGATATGAACAAACGGATGACAGGAAAAGACCAGAGTTTTTGAGAGCATCTCAGCATAGGAATGAATGACAAAAAAGATTCCGATGTCTGCCTTAGGTCTGGCACTTGATGAATAGGAAAAAAATGACATGCGTCTATCCGAATCCAAAGAACTCATTGTTCGTGAAGGTTTTTTATGTGTAGCCATGACACAACTTGCTAATAATAAATAGCATTTGTATAGCGCATATCCCCGCCCAACAGTGCAAGCGCTCAAACACTAACAAGCTGACAAGATCTTCCGCTGTCTTAGCCAGGTACCCATTCCCACCTGGGTGAAGTGAGGAAAATTCGTATAAAATGCCTTTCCCAAGGACACAACGTCGGGTCCCTGACTAATGCTCCTACTATGCTATTACGACGACACACGTAAAGGTTACAAGATATGTAATTTTTCGTGTGACATCAAGTGCTGTGTAAGAAGAGGGCACGTAACCGATGTTAGTTCGGATTCCGACCCCATTTAATTGAGGTTCTTTCCCTTTGGACATGTCGTTCGTCAACCATCCATATCGAGGTCAACGAGGCAGAAACGTGTGTTGTTCGTGTCACAAAAAAGGACACATCGTGGACGGTGAGAGTTGGATATCGATCGATATGCCTTTAGAGTGTATAGACTTATAATAGAGCTGCAGAGCGTCTCTCGCTAGGGCACAGGTGTGCACCGCTGTCAACAGTGGAGCGACATGCTGATGTCATGAAGTGCTGTGTGTAGTGAGAGCTGAGCTAAGGCGAGGCAGGATGAGGGAGTGGCCCTATTCTTGCTGCACTGCTCGCGGGGGATTTTTCTTTTGGGGGAAAAAAAGGGGGGGGG